TGGGAGAAATAAATTTCTGTTTTGTGCCACCCAGTCTATGGTATTTTGTTATGGCAGACCAAGCAGATTAAGATTTTGGTACCAAGAGGAGGGATGCTGCTGTAACAAATACCTAAAAATGTGGAAGTAGTGGAATTGGGTAATGGGTAGAGGCTAGAAGAGTTGAGGTACATACTAGAAACATGGACATTGAAGGCCACTCTGGTGAGATCTCAGATGGCAATGAGGTACATTATTGGAACTGAAGAAAAGGTGATCCTTGTTGTAAGTGGCAAAGAACTTGTCTGAACTGTTCGTGTTTTGTGTAAGACAGAACTTGGGCGTGATGAAATTGCATATTTAGCTAAGGAGATTTCAAAGTAAAGTATTGAAGGTGCAGCTTGGGTCCTCCTTGCTGCTCACAGTAAAATGTGAGAGGAAAGAGATACATTAAAGAAGAAATTGCTTTGTTTTGTTGAGACAGAGTTTCACGCTGTCACCCAGGCTGGAGTACAATGGAACATTCAGAGCTCACTACAGTCTCAAACTTCTGGACTCAAGCAATCCTCTTGCCTCAGCCTCCCAAGTAGCTGGGACTACAGGCACACATGTCCAGCTAATATTTCTATTTTTTGTAGAGAGAGGTTCTCACTTTGTTGCTCAGACTGGTCTCAAACTCCTGGCCTCAAGTGATCCTCCTGCCTTGGCCTCCCAAAGTGCTGGGATCACAGGCATGAGCCACCACATCAGACCTGAAGAAGGAATTGTTAAGCAAAAATGAAGTAGAATGTAAGAGATGTGAAAAATTCTATCCATATCAAAAAAATATGAGAAAGTTTGTAATGAGGAAAACACTAAGGGTGTGGATGAACAACCATTTGATGAAGAGATTATGGGTGTAACCCAAAAACTAAGTCAGCCATCTCAGCAGAAGTTAGGAATAGAAGTGGAACCATACCAGGTATAACATAGCCAGCTGGGACTAAAGATGGAAAAAAATATATACCTGAAATAAAATGAAGGCATATTATAGGACTGCTTAGATCTTGTAGAGTTATTTGGCTATGAACATGTGCTATTCTTCAAGAAAAGGGAAGAATGGCCCCCAAAGCAATCCAGAGACCATCAGGGCTGCCTCCTCTGTTTCTAAGGGTGGGGCCATCACATTGGTCTCAACACGCCAGGCAGCCTCCAAGGGAAGCATTAGGGGTGGGGCTACCTGGCAGAGCTGCAAATGCAGGACTATTACCCCAGAAGGCACAGCATCAAACAAAAGAGGATTACTCTTATAAGATCTAATGAAATGTAAAATCTAATGAAATCCACCTTGCTAGGTTTTGGACCCATCATCCCGTTGCCCTTTCTGATTTTTCTCTTTTGGAACAGGAATATCCACAGTATGCCTGTCCTACAATTGCATTTTAGAAGCACACAACTTGTTTGGTTAAACAGGTTCACAGCTTGAGAGGAATTTTGCCTCAGGATGAACAATACCTTGAGACTCGCCTATATCTGTTTTAGGTGACAGTTAGATGAAACTTTGAATATTAAAATTCATGCTAGAATGAGTAAAGACTTTGGGGGCTGTTGGGGTGGAATGAATATATTTGCCTGCAAGGACATGAATTTGGTGGGGGGGGGCAAGAGAAGAATGCTATAGACTGAATATGTTCCCCCAAAATTAATTATGTTGAAGTCCTAACCCCCAATATGACTGTATTTGGAGGCAAGGCTTTTAGGAGGTAATAAGGGTTAAATGAGAGAATAAGGGTGGGATCCTAATCTGATAGAATTGGTGACCTTTTAAGAGGGAGATGGTTCTCTCTCCTCCTCCACCTCTTTCTCCCTCCTCCTTCCTTCCCTCCTCGCTCCACATGCATGCATGAAGGAAAGGACAGAGGGTATAGTAAGAAGGCAGCCGTTAATAAGCCAGGAAGAGAATCCTCACTAGAGGCAGTAAGGTGGCACATTGATCTTGGACTTCCCAGCTCCAGAACTGTGAGAAATAAACTTTTTGAACCACCCAGCCTATGGTATTTTGTTATGGCAGACTGAGCAGACTAAGACAAAAACAGATTGAGGAAAATGAACAAAGCCTCAGAAACCTGTTGCGCTATAAGCAGGATCAAACATTTCTGTCATTAGCATCCCAGAAGGAAAAAAGAAGAGTGGAGGGTGGAACAGAAAAATGTATTTGAAGAAATAATAGCTGAAAAACTCCCAAATCTGGCAAAAGAAATAAACTTATGGATTGAAGAAGCTCAGCAAACCTCAAATAGAGGATAGCCTAAAAGAAATCTTCACTAAGATATCATAGCAAAATTTTCTGAAAATTAAAAACACTGCACTCAAAATAATGTTTCCAATAACCTTCAAAATTTCAATGGAAAAATATATACACAAAGATATCATCTGCCTCTACTCAAGAGTAAAATGGTGGAAGACAAGTATTTCAAAAATTTTTCAAGTTTTTCACAATCTAATATACTTTGTCAATGAAAGTACACAACTAAATTGTACATATGGTATTTTAAAAAAATCTAAAGTACAAACTAAATACAACTGAGGTAAATCTTTATAAATAAGCATATTCTTAGGTAACTCAGATAGCATAAAACAGACTGAACACATCAAAGGTCTCTTCTGTATTCTCACTCTCTAAGCTATGTCTTGACCCTTGGAATTAACATGATTCTTAGTGAGTAACATCTCAATAAGCAAAGTCTAAAAGACAAAAAGTGCAGCAGCAGATCCTCAGGCCAACATTCCTTAGCTTCAGCATAAAGCTGACCTCACAGAAACATTGTAGCCAACCAATTAACAAGACTAATATTTTTCCTGGTTGTAAATATTCAGTTGAGTCATTATTTCAATCAACATTTCTTAGGTTCATTCCCCTAGTCTTTTTTTTTTCCCGTCCTTTCCATCTACCTTCTTTGTGACTTTTTTTTTTTTTTTTGAGTCAGAGTCTCACTCTGTCGCCCAGGCTGGAGTGCAGTGGCACACTCATGGCCACCCCAGCATCAACCTGCTGGGCTCAGGTGATCTGTCTCAGCCTTTCAAGTAGTCAGAACTGTAGGCGCATGCTAACATGCCTGACTAATTTTTTTTGATATATTGTAGAGCTGAGGTCTCGCCACGTTGCCCAGGCTGGTCTCGAACCCCTGGGCTCAGGCAATCCACTCACCTTGGCCTCCCAAAGTGCTGGGATTACAGGCTTGAAGCACTGTGCCTGGCCCTTTGTGGCCTTTTACTTAAGAATGAAGGACAACTTCCCCTTTTTTTTTTTTTGAGTTGGAGTCTCACTCTGTCGCCCAGACTGGAGTGCAGTGGCCACTCCCGGCCACCGCAGCCTCGACCTGCTGGGCTCCAGCGATCCTTCCGCCACAGCCTTCCAAGCAGCCAGAATTACAGGCGTGCGCTACCACGCCCAGCTAATTTTTTGATTTTATTGTAGAGATGAGGTCTTGCCTGCCCAGGCAGGTCTCGAACCTGTGGGCTCAGGCAATCCACTCACCTCAGCCTCCCAAAGTGCTGGGATTACAGGCTTGAAGCACTGTGCCTGGCCCTTTGTGGCCTTTTACTTAAGAATGAAGGACAACTTCCCCTTTTTTTTTTTTTGAGTTGGAGTCTCACTCTGTCGCCCAGACTGGAGTGCAGTGGCCACTCCCGGCCACCGCAGCCTCGACCTGCTGGGCTCCAGCGATCCTTCCGCCACAGCCTTCCAAGCAGCCAGAATTACAGGCGTGCGCTACCACGCCCAGCTAATTTTTTGATTTTATTGTAGAGATGAGGTCTTGCCTGCCCAGGCAGGTCTCGAACCTGTGGGCTCAGGCAATCCACTCACCTCAGCCTCCCAAAGTGCTGGGATTACAGGCTTGAAGCACTGTGCCTGGCCCTTTGTGGCCTTTTACTTAAGAATGAAGGACAACTTCCCCTTTTTTTTTTTTTGAGTTGGAGTCTCACTCTGTCGCCCAGACTGGAGTGCAGTGGCCACTCCCGGCCACCGCAGCCTCGACCTGCTGGGCTCCAGCGATCCTTCCGCCACAGCCTTCCAAGCAGCCAGAATTACAGGCGTGCGCTACCACGCCCAGCTAATTTTTTGATTTTATTGTAGAGATGAGGTCTTGCCTGCCCAGGCAGGTCTCGAACCTGTGGGCTCAGGCAATCCACTCACCTCAGCCTCCCAAAGTGCTGGGATTACAGGCTTGAAGCACTGTGCCTGGCCCTTTGTGGCCTTTTACTTAAGAATGAAGGACAACTTCCCCTTTTTTTTTTTTTGAGTTGGAGTCTCACTCTGTCGCCCAGACTGGAGTGCAGTGGCCACTCCCGGCCACCGCAGCCTCGACCTGCTGGGCTCCAGCGATCCTTCCGCCACAGCCTTCCAAGCAGCCAGAATTACAGGCGTGCGCTACCACGCCCAGCTAATTTTTTGATTTTATTGTAGAGATGAGGTCTTGCCTGCCCAGGCAGGTCTCGAACCTGTGGGCTCAGGCAATCCACTCACCTCAGCCTCCCAAAGGCGTGGAATTACAGGCTGAGCCACTGAGCCCGGCTAACTTCCCTTTCCTCACTACTTTTGACTCTGGACAAACTCATTGCATTCTTAAATCTCTTATTTCTATCTCTGTAATTTCCCTAAAAGGATCACTTATCTCTTTAAAACTTATATCCTTTGCATTATGAAGCTACTTGGCCCAGTTACGATGTCTTCTTTCTATCATGGCACACCTATTTCTCTCTCAAGGATTTGGCAGTTTACATAGGCAAGGGTGTAAGAGATAATTTTCCTTTCCCCAGGGAAATTCAGTGTCTTCCACTAGGACATTTAAAACAATGTAAGTCTCCACTTTCACAGTCTAAGTAAGCTATGTTCTGCATTAACAATGACTTCTCAATAACTTTTTTTTTTTTTTTTTTGAGATCGGTCTATTTTTCCCAGGCTGGTCTCAAATTCCTGGGCTCAAGCAATCCTCCTGCCTCAGTCTCCTGAGTAGCTGGGCTTACAAGTGTGCACCACTGTGTCCGGCTTTCAATAACTTTTTTGTAACACAGTTATAACTTTCTTTATTGCCTCCACAGCATGTAAATGCTCAATAAATATGTTCTGAATGTACCACATTTACACGGTCTTCATCCAGTATGAATTCTTTTTTGTTGGCCAAAGGCTAAACGCTCAGTAAAGGTTTGTACATATTCCTTGGTTTTCCCTCCAGCATGAGTTTTCTGATGTTGAGAAAGGGAAGAACTCTGGCTAAAGGCTTTTCCACATTCCTTACACTTGTAGGGTTTCTCTCCAGTGTGAGTTTTCTGATGTTTAGTAAGAGAGGAGCTCTGGCTGAATGCTTTCCCACAATCCTTACACTTGTAAGGTTTCTCTCCAGTGTGTGTTCTCTGATGACGAATAAGAGCTGAGCGGTCACTGAAGGCTTTGGCACAATCACTGCATTTATAGGGTTTCTCCCCAGTGTGAGTTCTCTGGTGCTGAGTCAGGGCTGAGCAGTAGCCAAAGGCCTTTCCACATTCATTACATTCATAAGGCCGCTCCCCAGTATGAGTTCTCTGGTGCTGAATAAGGCCTGAACGATCACTAAAGGCTTTGCCACATTCATTACACTTATATGGTTTCTCTCCAGTGTGAATGACCTGATGCTGGGTAAGGAATGTGCTCTGGCTGAAAGCCTTCCCACATTCATTACACTCATAAGGTTTCTCTCCAGTATGAATTCGCTGATGTTGAGTGAGGTAGGAACTCTGATTAAAGGCCTTCCCACATTCATTGCATTCATAGGGTTTTTCTCCAGTATGAATAATATGATGCCGAATGAGGGCCGAGCGGTGACTGAAGGCTTTCCCACACTCGTGACATTCATAGGGTTTCTCTCCAGTATGAATTCTCTGATGTAGCGTAAGGTGTATACTCTGGCTAAAGGCTTTACCACATTCCTTACATTCATAGGGTTTTTCACCTGTGTGAATTCTCTGATGCAAGACAAAAGCTGAGTAGTAACTGAAGGCCTTCTCACATTCATTACACTTCCAAGGTTTCTTTCCTGCACAAATTATATCTGAATTTTGTTTTAAGCTCTTTTTAAATGAATCACAGTGATGTAGTCTCTCTCCTTGTTGCTGAACAAGTAATGACCTCCGACTAAAATTTCTTCTAAATTCATCACATTGGAAACTTCTTTCCCCATATTTCTTCTGAGTGACAACCTCTTGTGTTAAGTGTCTCTCATGGTATTCCTGCTGACTCTCTAAAGAATTTTCGCATTCACTGGAACCTTCCTTTGGAAATCTTTCTATTAATACCCCAAGGGCTGGTTCCTCTTCAGAAATGTTCTTCTCTGGAGTTAGCTCCTTGCTTTCTGGTATTGCCTCCCAATCTGGAAGAAGCAAAAACACATATGTATCATTTCTTGAGAGAAAAATAACTAATGAGGTAGGTTGATGAAACAAAAAATTAAGTGTACTGGGAACACATGAGCTTAAAAGCTCTCAAAGATAGTCTTGCAATCTTGAGAGAACATAAGAGAAGAAAGGTGACTGGGCAAAGAAGTACAGCTGCATAAAAGGAAAGGGTACACAGGAACTCAACATTCCTCTGTGGATGAGGGTAGGAAATGAGAAAGAATAAATTCCGGCTACTCGGAAGGCTGAGTTGGAAGGATCGCCGGAGCCCAGCAGGTCGAGGCTGCGGTGGCCGGGAGCGGCCACTGCACTCCAGTCTGGGTGACAGAGTGAGACTCCAACTCAAAAAAAAAAAGAATAACAGAACAAGACTAAGCAGAGGTGATATGAGGAAATGGCAGACAATAAAGAGAATGTGAGAGAAGACAGAGCTGGGATCAGAGAAAGATGGTCTCTCAGAGATTATCCATCATACCCACCTCACCAGAGCCTCATCACTTCACACCTCAAGAATGACCATCTTCAGCTGATATCCTTGCCACCAGTCTTTTCCCACTCCAATATGTCCCAATCACTGCTAAAATACGAATCGTTCAAAACCATCCCTTCTGTACAACAGTCTCCATTGGTTCTACTGTCTTAAGGAGAGACACAAATTCTAGAAGCTAGCATTCAACATGGTCCAGATCTACAAATATAAATTATCTCAAAGCTTAGTAATTAGGAAGTAATTGCTCATCTCTGAAAGCTTGATGGTCACCCTGTATCCAGCAAACTGGAAAGAGTAAAATAGAACCAAAATTTTAAAAATAATAATGAAAGAAAGAAAAAGAGAAGTGTGTTGGGAGTGGAAGGTCAAAGCTCCATGTGCTCAGATTAGTCTCCAACCTGTCAGAATCTCGGCCTCAAGTTCCTAGGCTTCCTGCTAAGAGTTTGGGGAGACAGGAGCTTCATTGCTAAAAATGTTCAAATATTAAAGTTTAACTGGTCTTTAATAACCCCTACAACCATGTCTCTACATGAAATGAATCAATACAATACAATGTTTTCAACTACGTAGCATACTTAGAGAAGTGCCTGAGACCTTAAAGGACAAACGTAGACATAGGTTAAAGGCAAAAGAACTTCCAACTAAGGGAAACAGAAGAATTAAAGCCCCAATTGTTCATAGAGAACAAATTGTTAGTGGAGGATAGTATGGGACTTGCCTGCCTGGGGTTAAGGGTTCAAGCTGAAGAACAAATAAGGCAAAAAGGTTAGCCAGACAGACTAACAAAGGCCATGAAAGCAGGCAGAGGAATACAGAACTGGCAGAGAAAGCAACTAACTGGAGGATCTAGCAGTATTATGCTGTCTCAATTATATAAGAACAAGACTAAAGAAAGTATAATTAGCTGGTAGTCTATTGCAGTAAATCAGTTTGACTGCATTAATAGGATCAAATCCATGACATCTTTCAAAAAACAACCAGGACTTAATCAACAGCTATCACTTGTTTAACACAGTCAGGTACTATTCTAAACATTTCTCTTGGATCTCAGTTAATCCTCACAGCACTACAAAGTATTATCATTAACCCTATTTTACAGTTGGTGAATTTGAGTCACAGCGAGAATAAGTTATTTGTTAAAGATCACAGTGCTAGTCAGTGCTAGTGCCAGTCTTGAGCTGAGGAAGACTGTTTCCAAAGTCTGCACTCTTAACCATTATGCTATGCTGCCTCTGCTTGGATAGAGAGGAAGATAAGAGAAAATCTAGAGATCAACTTAGTGTACTGAGACTCAAATTACTACATTCTAAAATGTCAAATTATAACTTTATAAATAGATCACCATCCACAGAGCTGGAGTATGGCACAGGGAAAACTGGGACTTCAACTTTCCCATGGGTCTAGCAAAATCCGGACTCTCCCACAAGCATTTCCATTGACCATCTGGGTTTAATTTTCAATGTTTCCAATAATCACTTACCTGGGCTGGTTGCTTTCGAGACTTCGTTCTCCAGCTCCTCCCCACAATCTAACTGAGAGATGACATTGGGCTTGGAAATTGGAAGCCCTGTTCATGGGAAAAGAAAAAAGTAGGATGGTAAAGAGCTCAGTGCTAGTTCCTTGGTATTTAGGGAAAAGAGTATGAGAAAGAGAGAGTAAGTTCTGGATTTCTTCCTCAACAGTGCTCAGAAGAAGGTAAGAAGATTGATATGGGCTTGTTTGATGTCAAAACAATTAAGTCACTGGTTTTACCTCTGCTTATTAAAAGAATTTCACTAGCACTTTGTCTTGACATCCTTGGTCAGGGAGTAGAGAAGAAGGATGCCACAGGTCCATATAATAAAGGTGTTAATTTCCAACTCCAGGAGTATTAAAACTATAGCTAGGAATAAAAAAGCAGAAATGGTCTGTTTTGGGCCTTACAGGAATTAAGACTCTTTCAGTCTGAGGATCTCAGAGCTCCGAGGAACTAAGGAAGCAAAGGTATCACACTAGGTAAATTCACAGGGTCTGAGGGAGCCACCCTTACCCAGTAAGACCAGATTCCTATGCTTCTCAGGCACATCTCCCTGAGGACAGTTCAGTCGCTCCCACTTGGTGAGAGCCTCAGCCACATCCCTGATCACTGGTTCCTGAAAAACCAAATATATCAATGGTTACCAATGGGCCTCCTTCCAGAGGCCTCTGAAAAGAACTAAAACTGACAGCATAGAAGAAGGAAGACAGGAAGAACAGGAAGGTCAGACAAAATGACTCTGACATCCTTTCCAAAACTAAGATCCGCTGGTGGATTTGTAGTCCACAGACTCACTCTTTGCCTCCATGCATCAGAACTGCATATTAACTGCAAGTAGGAAGGAGAGCACCTTCAATGTAAAACCTGAAGGTATAAAGTTCTTAGTTTATATATCAATAAATTAAATGACAGAACTATAAAATTCCTTACTATTTATACATGAGAAAGGAGAGAAAATATAATTATAAATTAAATATTTTCTTTATGGTATGGTTTTTGTTTTTTTTTTTTTGAGTTGGAGTCTCACTCTGTCGCCCAGACTGGAGTGCAGTGGCCGCTCCCGGCCACCGCAGCCTCGACCTGCTGGGCTCTGGCGATCCTTCCGCCTCAACCTTCCAAGTAGCCAGAACTACAGGCATGTGCTACCACGCCCAGTTGATTTTTTGATTTATTGTAGAGATGAGGTCTTGCTGCCCAGGCGGGTCTCAAGCTCACGGGCTCAGGCAATCCACTCACCTCAGCCTCCCAAAGGCATGGGATTACAAGCTGAGCCACTGAGCCCGGCTTGGTATGGTTTTTAAAATATAAGGGGCTCAAGAAATATGAAATGTTTTTTTCTCATTTTCCTTTCAGAATAAAATCAGTTCAATATATATTAAAAGTTAAGATGTTTCCTACTTGTGTCACAGAATATAGATTTATTTGCAAAACAGTATCTCAAGCCCAAACTATTGTGTAAGAGCCCAAAATCTTCTCATCATTTCTCACAATGGCCCTGATCTGCCTGGCCCCTCAATCTACTTTCTTCCCCATCATATATTACCACTTCTGCATCCCCTGTGCTCCAGTTGGTGGCTGTCTTTCAGTGGCATGAAATGTATGCCACATTCCCTTCTGCCCTTTTACACATGCCACTTCCTGTTTCTGAATGCTCTCCTCGCTGCCCCATCCTTTCAGCTATTTGAGTTATCTTCACCCTTCAGATCTCAGCTTAGGTGTTACCTCCTCAAGAAAAGCCTTCTCTGACTATCTGGTTGTAACTCCATGTTCCTTCCCTTCCCTTGGTTATACACATTGAGGGACTTTGTGATTAAACACCTGTTTGTCCCATTAGACTGTAAGCTCCAGGAGAACAGAGGCCAGGTTTCTTTGTGCTCATTGAAGAGCCCTAGTACCTGGCACCGAGCAGAAACTCTGTAAATATTTGCCAAATAGTTGAATGAAGGAAAGAGGGAATAAACAAAAATTAGTAACAACAAGTTTAAACAGGATGTTCTATAAAAGTTTGCATGGAAAAAGAGGTGGGGTAGGGACAGAAGTATATCAAACATTGAAAACACTGCAGGAGTGTTTACTCTAGCCTAACCATAATCTAGAGGACAGGCACAAGTTTAGTTTGTCTACTAAAATGTGGGGAGAGGGGATAGGGCAGGTAATGCTCCTTTGGATCTGTTTACTGCTGATAAATCTCTAACAATTTTTCTTCTTTCTTTTTTTTTTTTTGAGTTGGATTCTCACTCCACTGCCCAGGCTGGAGTGCAGTGGCATGCTCATGACCGCCCCATCATCGACCTGCTAGACTCCAGCGAACCTTCCGCCTCAGTCTTCCAAGTAGCCAGAACTACAGGCACATGCTACCATGCCTGGGTAATTTTTGATTTATTGTAGGTATGAGATCTCACCATGTTGCCCAGGACAGTCTTGAACCCATGGGCTCAGGCAGTCCTTTTGCCTAGGCCTCTCAAATTACTTGGGCCACTGTGCCCAGAGTTTTTCTAATTCTATTTTTAAAATTTCTATGCAACCACAATTTGCGCCACATTAAAATCAACTAGTACCTGGTTTGCCAGCAAATGAATCGGTCTTCCCCACTTTGAACTACCACTGTTGCCATAGCCTCCTGCATATATATCTATACACACACACACACACACACACACACACACACACACACACCACACAAATGTATATATATTTATGTGTATATAAATGAATATAATTGTGAATTTTGTTTATATTCAGTATTCTAATATATATTACATAGTCCTCCAAAAATGACTAGTTTTAATACTGCCTATTCTGAAAATTCCCTGCCCAAAACATTCTCTTTATTCTAACACTTTAGATATAAAATTACTACATTTTTAATTTAAGTTTATGAACCCTTAAGGCCATATGCTTCAGGAGTGATCAACACAAGTAACATACTTTGTAAAGTCTTCTTCCTTTATAAACAAAACTAATACTAACAAACTAACTGGCAGTTCCTTTCAGACTTAAGTTCCCTGAGAAAACCTCAGCAATCAAACTCAATTAAATGTGCATATGCTGGGGCTGGAAGGCCCAGGCAGGCTAATCAGACACCTATATAGTTTGGATGTTTGTCCCCTCTAAATCTCATGTTGAAATATGATCCCCAGTGTTGGAGGTGAGGCCTAGTGGGAGGTGTCTGGGTCATGGGAACAGATCTTTCATGACAGTTTGGTGCCTTCCTTGCTGTAATAAGTGAATTCTTGCTCTATTAGTTCCTGCAAGAGCTGGTTATTTACAAAAGCCTGGCACGATCCTTCTCTCTCTAGCTTCCTCTCTCATTATGTGACATGTTGGCTTCCCTTTCCCTTCTGCCATGATTGTAAGCTTCCTGACACATCACCAGAAGAAGATGCTGGTACCATGCAGAATTGTGAGCCAAATAAACCTATCTTTATAAATTACCCAGCCTCAGGTAGTCCTTGATAGCAAAGCAAAACTGACTACTATAGACACTGTCTCAAAGATGCTGTTGACTTCCTCTCCCCCTTCCCTCTAAAAATGATCTACAAATTCACAGATCAAAAATCACTATTAGTGTTTTCTACCTTGGTTTTAAAAGGATTATCAGCACCTGTATGCCATGAGGGCTGGAGTAACTAGTCAAGTAGTCCCAACACCTGAACTAAAGGGTCTGCTGATCCTCTACTGTCCTAGCCAGATGTCATAGAAGCATCTTACTAATCTCTCTCCAATCAGTTATGGCATGTTTCATCTTATTTGGCCTCTAAAGACCTTCATGGGGCCTTTGGAATAAGACTAGACTATCCTGTAGTCTGGCTCAACACATCCTAGCTTCCCTCACCACTCTCCACCTTATGACCCCTTGAAGACATCCAACTCCCTCATCACTTGAAGTTTTTGTTTGTTTTCTGTTTTGCCAAGGCCGTTGGACTAGTCCTCTCTCTCTCAGAATACTCCTTTATTCTATTCTCCAACTACTCCCTTGTTTTTCAAAACACAGCTTTTATCCCAAACCTCTATCCCAAATAGATGACAGAAAACCTCTCAGGGCCTTTTTGACTTGTCTGTACCAGTCATTTCTACACTAAAACAATATTTATCTCTTTACACTGCTTAACTTTTATTTATCCATATCTTGAAACTTCAGTAAGCTTCATGATGCAGGGTCAAGTGGCTTTTATTATCTTGCATCTCACCACAAGGCCAGCCATAGTAGTGAATGGCTAGTAAGTGTGCATGCAGCAAGCACTCAGTGGGTAGAGCAAAGGAAATGGTCAGAAGGAAAGTTCTGCACAGGTGAGGAGCATTTCCTGTGAGGCTTATCAGTCATCAGTTTATCAGGATGAACTCCATGGTCTAGGAATCAGGGCTAAGCCATTTTATAATAATGGAAGAAAGCATGCCCATGCTCTGAGAACAGAAAAAAAGAAAGAAAAAGAGGAGGCTATCTAAAATTACCTGGGACCCAGGGGTCAGCAGCACAGTAGTCAGGCCATTTTCTTTTGAGTTTCCAGCATGGAGGTCTGAGTCCTCAGAAAGTGATTCTAGGAGTGGAGACAGGAGCCATGACAATTACTCTGTCCTTGCAGTTAACGTGCAGAAACTGACACACACCACCTACTTGTCGTCAAAGAGTCAACAAAGGAAGGTAAAGGACAAGCCTTCTAAATCCTTTAATCAAGACAGCCTTGACCTTTGCGGCCTCAGCTTTCTCCTGTCCTCTGCCCTTGAACGTCAATAGAACTCTGTTATGAGAATCTGGACACATAAATTACATATCTCTATTTCGCATCTGCTAAGTAGTCAAAATAATACTCAAAGTTTCTGTGTGTCCATCTATACCTCACCTAATGATTCATTTCTGCTGTATTCCAGGCTCACAAAATGAGTAAAGACTAGTTAAATTATTTTGAACGCTGGATTTTCAGCTGGCTGTCTCAGAAAAGTGATGAGTCTCGTAGAAAAACCACCACCAAAAAAACACTCCCACAGAACTGAAAACAAATCCCGTGACTGCTTGACTCCCCGCTTTCCCTATCTGCCGAATGGGTCCAGTAATTTTCCTACTGTCATATCGAGTTTCTTTGAGGACAAAAGGAAGTCATTATCAAAAGCCAAACTGTGTTGATTTTGGAGGGCAAAGAGCATCCATCACCTACAGACCAGGAGGGCGAAGGAGGTGGCATGAGCCCACCTAGCAGGAGGGACCTCTCACAGCGGGGACGTGATGCTTCTCCTCCTGAGCTGCCCAGCCTTTCCCTTCTTCTCTCCAGCAGGCGCCACGGCCGCATCACTCCGAAAGTCTCACCTCTGCCCCCAGGCTCCATAGCGACTCCTTCCTCCGGTCCGCGCCGGAGCCGACCGCCGCGAGAGAACGGCTGGGGGTCCGCCGCTCGGGTTCACCCAGAGGCCCGGGAATGCACGGGCGCCCCTCGCCGGCCGGCCCGAGGCCCTCCCGCCGGCCTCCTTCCGGACAGTGACTTAGAAGAGCAGCGCTCAGCCCTCCTCCACTCCGGCCCGACCTCACGCGGGACACGGAGGAAGCCGGAGCCGGGTGACAAAGGCATCTAGCAGCCGGCCGGGACGAGCGGCGCCGGCCAACCGCGAGGCTGAACTACAACTCCCAGAATCCTCCGCAGGGCGCGCCCCCCGCCCTCCACGCCGCTTCCCAGAGGCCCCCGCGGCGCGCCTGCAGGGTAGCCTTCTGAACCAGTCCTACCGCCTGCGGGAGCGCTGGGTCCTTCACTTGGCGCTTTCCCCAAGCTCGCACGGCCCAAGGCTGGCCTCGCGTCGAACTTTTGCATCCCGGCAAAAGGGAGTGCGCCGAGTGCGGCGCCCCCGACCCTCCCAGTCCTTGGCGGCGTGCCCCCTCGAGGAAAGCGCCACCGGATGCTTCCTCCGCCCGATCGTTTCCCCTCGACTGCGCCTCCACGCGTTAGGCCCCTTGTAGCCGGCACCGAGATGATCTCAGTTTACTTCAGGTAACCAGGGATGTTCCAGGGTGCATCTCAGAATAAAGAAAAGTGGAAATTCTATCCCAGAAATCATCTCAACCCAGAAATCGCCAGGTCCCCGAGAAGAACCATAACTGGTACTGCTGAACCCAGGAGACTGAACCCGAAGGTCCTTCAGCCTCCTCAGAGCCGGTGACTCTTCAGTCTGGTGCGTGTTTTCACTTGTCTTCACCCAGTAAAGTGCCAGTTTTCTATTCAGTTCAGATTTCCCCCGAGCTAAACTGTCCCTTGTTTGGATACAAGCCACAATGTCCAATTGTTCTTACTTTAAAAGCATCCCCTCCTTATTGCTCGGCCTCAGTCTTCCTAAACATTCCATTTCTCATCATTCCTGCCTCTTTCCAGGTCCTCCGTGCTGACTGGATCACAGTCAATAAGTCCAGTAAATCATCAAGGACCGTGTAAACTAGGTTAACACCCTAGGAATAGCAAACCGACAAGATAGAGGAAACGGAGCCCCTGACAATTTGTTGGGACAGAGCTTGGGCTTTAATATGAGAAAGATGTAAACTTCTATTTTGTATAAGGCACTATTATTTGGGGATTCTGCTACACAGATAGCCACACATCTCCAACTGGTCTATAGAATGGTTGCTTTTGCTCCAATCAGCTAGGGCTAGGGCTAAGGGACATGTGGTAGAGACACATCCTGGCCAGCCAGCTGAAACAGCTCCTGGAGGGCATCTCCCTACCCTTCCATCAGCAGGAAATATGGGATGGGCAATTTCCTTCAGAAGATGGTGTATATGAAAAGTACCACCAGCGTGTCTGAAGCACCAGGTAATACCTTCTTGTTGCTAACCATCTCCATCACAAAAATCCCTTCTTTTGTTACCATATAAACCAATTGCCAGTTCTCAGTGCTCATCTCACTTTACCTAGCAACATCCATTGGTAAAACTTGACTGTTTCCTGCTCCTGGAAACTCTCTCTGGTTTTCCTCTTCCTTGGTCTTCTTAGGTATTTCTTCTTCTCCCCAGTCTTTACAGCAGTGGTTTTCAAACTACAGTCAAGCATCACTTAATGGAGGGGATATTCTGAGAAATACATTGTTAGGTGATTCATTATTGTGTGAACATCAGAGTGTACTTAAATGGCATAGCCTACTACATATCTAGGCTGTATGATATAGCTTATTGCTCCTAGGCTACAAACCCATATAGCATGTTACTGTACCGAATACTGTAGGAAATTGGAACACAATAGTAAATATTTGTGCATCTTATACTTAGATATTACATAGAAAAGGGGCAGTAGAAATATGGTATACAAGATAAAAAATGGGACACATGTATAAGGCACTTCCTGTGAACTGGGGACTGGTAGTTGCTCTCAATGAGTGAGTGGTGAGTGAATGTGAAGGCCTAGGATGTTACTGTATACCACTGTAGACTTTAGAAACCTTGTACATGGCCAGGCTCAGTGGCTCAGCCTGTAATCCCAGCACTTTGGGAGGCCACGGCAAGTGGATTGCCTGAGCCCGTGAGTTTGAGATCAGCCTGGGCAACTTGGCAAGTCCTGGTTTCTACAATAAATAAAAAATTTGCTGGGCATGGTAGTATGCACCTGTAGTTCCAGCTACTTGGAAGGCTGAAGTGGAAGGATTGCCTGAACCCAGCAGGTCAACGCTGGGGTGGCTGTGAGAATGCCACTGCACTCTAACCTGGGTGACGGAGTGACTCCAACTCAAAAAAAAAAAAAGAAAAGAAAGGAAAAGAAACCCTGTACACTTAGGCTACACTAAATTTTCCAAAATAATTTTTCTTTCTTCCACAATAAATTAGCTTACTATAACTTTTTTACTTTATAAACTTTTTAACATTTTTAACTTTTTGACTCTTTTATAATAACTTAGCTTATAACACAAATAGAGCACAGTGGGAGTGCAAGTTAGTTCAACTTCTGTGAAAAGCAGTGTGGCAATTCCTAAAATAACTAAAAAATGACTTTCCATATAATCCAGCAATGCCCGTCCTGGGAATATACTCAGAGGAACAAAAATTGTTCTACCAAAAAGACATCTGCATACACAGGTGTATAGGTGTGCTATTCACAATAGCAAAAACATGGAATCAACCATACAGCCCATCAAAAATGGACTGGATAAAGAAAATATGGTACATATACATGATGGAGTATTATGTATCCATAAAGAAGAACAAAATCATTGACTTCACAGGAAATTGGATGGAGTTGGAAACCATCATACTTAGTGATCTATCACAGAAACAAAGAACTGAATACCACATGTTCTCACTCATAGTGGGACTTGACCACTAATAACAGTCACAAAGGAGGGATCATGCGGTCTCTGGGCACTGTCAGGAGAGGGAGGAAGGAAGGGGGCCACTTAACAATGCCAAGTGTACCTGGTCCCAAGCCAGGGGAAATGAGGGCCAGTTAGAGGCCCAAACTTCATCTGCATGCAGCCTACTTGTGTAGATAATCCTTACTTGTACTCCACATCTCTGTAATAAAATACAGTTTTTTAAAAACTACAAACACATTGTACAACTCTACAGAAATATTTTCTTTATATCCTTATTCCTTAAGCTTGTTTCTATTTTTAACTTTTTAAACTTTTTTTTTGGTTAAAAATGAAGACACAAACACACTCATTAGCCTAAGCCTACACAGGATCAGAATCATCAATATCACTGTCTTCCACTCCACATCTCATCCCACTGGAATGTCTTCAGGGGCAGTAATATGCATAGAGGTGTCATATCCTAGGATAACAATGCCTTCTGGAATTCCTCTTAAAGGACCTGCCTAAGGCTGTTTTACAATTAATTTTTAAAAAAATATGTAAGTAGGAGTACATTCTAAAATAAGGATTAAAAGTATAGTAAATACATAAACAAGTAACAGATGTTTATCATTTTCAAGTATGTACTGTACATAGTTGTATGTGCTATATTTTTATACAGCTGGCAGCACCACAAACATGTGAATAAAGTGTTGTGCTAACAGCTACGATGACAATAGGAATTTTTCAGCTCCGTTATTAACTTTATAGGACCAATATCATATATGTGGTCCCTCATTGACCAAAATGTTATGTGGTATGTGACTATATCAGGATCAGAATCACCTGAAAAGCTGTTAAAAACACAGTGCTGGACTCCACTCCCAATTCAGGAGGTCTGGGTTGGGCCTGATAATTTGCATTTCTAACAAGTTCCCAGATGATTCTGAAGCTGCTCATCTGGGAATCAACTAAATATTGGAATGCCCCAGAGCTCAAACCCTGGGCGTGTCTTATTTTTCTATCAACCCTCCCTAGGTGATCTTGTTTAGTCTAGATGCTCTAAATGCCATCCCACTGTGGTCAGCTCTCAATTTGTATCTCCAGCCTGGGCTTCTCCTCCAGCCTGGTCTCCTCCTCTGACCTTGAGTTGTTTCCTCTACCTCTTTTCTTGATGTCTCATAAATGTCTCTAATGTAGTATGTTCAAAACTAAACCTCTGCAGTTCCCCCTGCCCTACTGCCTTACCTCTTCCCCCTGAAGTTTCCCCCTCTTTAGTAAATGGCAATTCCATCCCTCTAGTTACTCCATTCAAACACCTTGGAGTCTTCATTCTTCTCTTTGTCTCATTCCCCACATCTGGTTCCTCAGCAAATCTTGTTGGCTGTACTCTCAAAATAGAAGCAGAATCGGACCACTTCTTACCACCACTACCATCCTTGTCCAAGTCTCCATCTTTTGCCTGAATCACGGCAAATGGCTGCTGACTCATTCCATTCCTCTTGCCTTGCACGTTCTGTTCTCAACACAGTGGCTTCCTCATCTCAGAATAAAAGACAGAGTCCTTACAGTGGCCCACAGGCCCTTCATAGTCTACACTATCTACCCCCACTAGCTCTCTGATCTCAGCTTCTAGAACTTTCACTTGTTCCACTGTAGTCACACTGGCCTCCTTGTCTTTCTTCAATCAAGTGAAGCATGTTCCACTATGGAGCCTTGGTGCTTCTTCCCTCAGCCAGATGGCCACAGGGCTTGCTCTCTCACTCCTTCCAAGCCTTTGCTCACCTCTGTGGAGCCTTTTCAGGCCACACTACTTTTATTTCTTTTCCGTACCATGAAAGTTTGGGGAACACAAGATTCAACAGAAGACAGCAGGGCTAAATGTCTCAGACAGTGAGAGAGTAAGTCAGACTTGAGAGAGGAAATCAGACTTGGAGTGAAATAGCAAAGACAGTATATCAGGCATGTGTCTCATGCCTACTGACATTGCCTTAGGCCTCTGCAAAGACCCTTAGCCATTTGTTCTACC